ATGAATAAATCTGAAATGATAGATTAATTTACCATTTTTACCACGCAGTGGCAGCAACTGGAAGAAGGAAAGGGGAATGTAATAAAATATGATGATTTCCAGTTGTGACTAATCAAAAGGATTGGGGGGGGAGAGAAACTCCTTCTCTTCATCAGTACTGTGCACAGTGAGCAATACTGAGGATTCAAAACTTAGTGGTAATGGAAGATCTGTTTTCAGAATATAAAATGCTCCTCTTTTTAAGGCCTCACATTGTAGGGTGGAGATCAATCCTGGAACAATGAGATTTGGTAGCAGAGGATTGGCAGCCAGAAAACAAAGCAGCCAGTGACTGATACTGCATGGATAATGTGTTCATTTCTTTATATATTTATTAAGGAGAAATACTCTGGGATCCTAAGAAAAATTATCACAAGAAAGTTTGCAGAAGAAGAATTACCTGTCTCCTCATGTGCCAGTAGTTTCTCACTCCATTCAGAAAGGCTCTGTGGCTTTTCAAAGTAACTTTTCACATGCATTAGTATCTGTAAGCAGGAAAACAGGTGATTGGAACTCTTCCTTTGAGAATTTCCTGAATTTATCTTAAGATCAAGGCCAGTATAATGAAAGCTGGTTCAATCATTTAGGTCTTTTGTACTGTAATATTTAGTTGATTAACAGCTGGGGTCATCATCACAATGACAATCATCATAGTCAAACTGATAGGGTTTCCACAAACTCAGAGAGTTGCTGTAGATGAACAAATTATACTGCTTAATTTCAGTTACCGTACTATACTAAGAGCTTTATCACATGACAAAAGAAAGCCAAGATACCATCTGCATGCTGTCATGGCACTTCCATTTTTCTTCATGAGGGAGACAGTCATAAAAATGTGCCTTTTGCCAAACTGATTTTTTCCAACATGACAAAAGACACCGTCTCCCTCAGGAAGAGAATGAAAGTGCAACAATATCATGAGAAAAGGAAAGGAGACAGCCACTACCCTGCTGCTGCATCTCAGATTTTTTTTGTTTTTGTTTTTGTTTTGTTTTTTGGTCATGTAATAAGGGTCTAAAATAAATCTTTTTTAATGCTGTACTGGATGAAAAGCAAATGTCACCACTTTTATATAGTTCAGTTATAATAGTCTAAAATCAGATTATCTATAGAAAGATGCTATGACTTTATTCATTTGCTTCTATGACAGCTGCAAACTGTGCTATCCTATGAGCTGAAAATGTTATATCTGCCCAAATCAGGCAGCAAATAACAGTTCCTTTCTTTTTCTCTCATTTCCTCTGTGCATGCAGCATACACTGTAATGAAGTAGTTCTATCCTTTTTTGCCACATATGCATAGCTGTAGCTTTGCTGGCCACATAAGCTCCCTTTCCAAAGCAATCTAACATATGCATACCCAGAAGTATGTCTCAGGTTCATGGGGCTTACTCCCAGGTAAGTATTTATAGGACTGGACTTTTTATGAAACCTCATGTGTACAAAGTCTCCATGTCCTTCTATATGCTTTGAAGGATGCTTCTGAAGTTCCTTCTGGACTGAACTGTTCCCACTTATATCACCTCAGATGCAGAACAATCAAATGCAGTTACTTTCCAGTATCCTTCCAGTCACTATTTCTAGATTATGTAAAGATCACTGAATATAAAATGTTTGCTACTGACAACCTTACATTCATCTGGTTTATATGGAGTTTTCCCCCTTTACATTGAGTTATAAGCAATTTTGTACATTCAAAAGTCTGGAATTAGGCTGCCACAGTATGAAGAACTGTATTAACATTCTTTAATTCAAATATCTGTACTTTTTGTTCACATGCTGGTGCAGATCACTGTGTTCATTACCTACCCTGACAATCATATATTTATGTATATGTGAATGCTCGGGAATAGAGAAGGCAGAAAAGGAACTTACTGTGCATGGTGCTCCATGACACTCGGGTTTGAGTTATTACTCTCATGTAGTTCCTATTTTATCATTTTCTGTCTTCTGTTGATCAACTAACTGTAAAAGTGAATCCAAATTGTTCCCATTTATTAGTGGATTGTCATCTACCAAGAGAGAGGTCATTTTCCCCTTGAAGATACTTCAATTGTTTTTGAGAGCTCAGAGAAAAAATTAGAGCAGGTTTAGGGGGCAGGTGTTAGGAGTGCATGGAGGAGAGAATGGCAAAGGTCCATTCCATAAACAGAATCCATTCATGCAACTATGTATGTATATCCGTATTCCTTGCTTTCTAAGACCCCTGGGGAATTGAATGGCCCTCTTGACTCTGTTGGATTGCAGCTACTTACAGCTGTCACTAATGGAGAGGAATACTTGGAGCTGCAGTTCAACAAAATCTGAGGGGCTGCCCAGTACCCACTTCTATGTTACCAACAGGAAATGAAACCCTAAAAGAACAAAACAGAGGTCCAAATTTCAAGCATTTCACTACATGCAGTAATAGGGGATATCCAGCCCCTATCTGTTTCTGAAACTCTGAAGGACACTCCCCCAACTCCATCCCCAAACTGGCATTTGGTGTGTTGTTGTTGTTGTTGTTGTTGTTTTCCAAAATAAATGTCCTGGGGGTATGGTTTTCAATTTTGCTAGGGTTTTTTTGGAGACACTCTTAGAAGCCCAGGTCACCCAGTGAGTTTCCATGGCTGAGTGGAGATTCAAACCCTGGTCTCCAGAGTCCTAATCCAATGCTCAAACCACTACACCTCACTGAGTCTCCAAAACCTAAAGGGGAGGATTAATTCTATTTTTAATTGAATAAATTTGAGTGAAATAAGTGATTTTTTTTTTCAGTCTTATTACATTAAGACAGGGGTAGGCAACCTTTTTGAGCCGGGGGCCGGGTTGCTGTCCCTCAGACAATTGGAGGGGGCCGAAGCACCAAAAATAAATAAATAAATGAATAAATGAAAAGATTTAAAAATTAAAAAAATATGCATGCATACTCTCTCAGCCCCAGAAAAGCCATGGCAAACCCCCTGTGGAGATTTTGCCAAGAAAACCCCAAGAACAAGTAATAACAACGATAATCAATATCATCATGGTGGGCAGTGGTGGCAACAGGGGGCGGCGGTCATGGCGGTGGCGGCAGGGCTGGCCTGGGCCGGTCCAAAGGCCTCAGGGAGGCGCATCCGGCCCCCGAGCCTTAGGTTGCCTACCCCTGCATTAAGATGCTGCAATTCCTTCTCCTTCTATATTACTCTACCAATGCAGGAAACTTTAATCAGAGAGAGGGAGAGATCAATTTGCAGATAGAAATAATCATTTGATTCTCTGTGGCAGTCACAAATATGCAGTATTACGGTTAAAACAGATGCTACTATAGATCAGTAGAAGAAACATTTCCATCCAGTTAGTTGATTTTTTACTTGATTCCTGTACACTTTTTCTCCTCTATGTCAAAGTTCTTTGGTTTTGTTTTTAAAAAAAGTCTAGGAAAGAAATATGATGTCTGTCTACTTAGATAAGCACTGACAAGACAGAGAGCTTAGACTGGAGAACCAGATCAGCACCAGCAAGCAAATTAGGTTTGCATGGGACAACAGGCACAATTAAACTGCTTCTCATCCCCCTCCACCCCAGAATAGGTACTATTCTGCTATATATTTTTTTTAAAAAATCTGTAAATCTTTAACTGGATCTGGAACAACTGACACAATCATCAGTACTAGCATATGAACTAATACAATGGAAATCCTTGGTAGATTTTTTAAATTGTCAATGCCATACTCCACACCGTCACATGCAGAAAAAAACATGAGAAAGAAGAAAATAGCAGTATTTGGACTTGCAAAATATCTCACTGGAAATATCTATATCTGCATTCTGGCATTCATGATTTACTGGCACACAGGTGGAACAGACTGAACCAGAAGAATTGAGGCTACCCATAGAAGAATTATGAAGCAGAATGGTAGGACTCTCTCAGTCCCTAGTGATATTCATATACCAAATGTTCTGAAGCAGTACCAATAAATCTTCCAGGTAAGGGTCTAAAAATTTGGACTAACACCCATCTTTCCCTATCTGTTGGGAAGTCTGGAATTGACTTGGAGTCTAAGGCCCAAAACACACAGACTAAAGGAAGCAGCTTTTGGTTGATTTAGGGGCATTTTATTTACATGACTCACACCCCCAAAGTGGCTGGAAGCCACTCCAAGGCCCATGAAATGGAGCCCCAAGCCACAGCAAAAAGGTGTTGGTTTAAATTTACTCCTGACCAGCACAGCTTGGGAGTGGGCCATATGGTGGCCATGGTCCTAGTCCCATTGCAGCCTGATAGCAGCTCCTTCCTGGCCGTCTGCTTCTCCCCAATGAAACAATTGTCTACTCACACTCTTCCAGGCCATATTTAATTTCACATATAATTTCTAAGGAAGCACAACTCCATCTCTCTGCTCTACTACCAGAACAATCCTTTGAATTCTGTTTGTGATGCAAAAGAGTCATGGAGGAGAACCTATGCTCTCTATCAAGGTTTAATCTAAATGTCTCCCAGGTCCCTATTTACTGCACAGGAAGCCAGTAATCTAGCATTAGGGAGGCACTTCTTCCTGATCTCTTTGGCACCATGTGCTATTTCATAAGACTGTGTGGCAGTGCATTGTAGAAAGTGACAGAGCCAACCATGAAGAGACACTGAATTAAGATGCAACAAGATACTGAGGTGTGATGGCACTGACCAAATGGATACAATGGTGAAAGTTCTTGAAAAATCAGGTGAAGAAAAATTGAAGTTTCTAGGTATCAGGAGAGACTGTGGCTCTGCTTTGGAGCATTGCACACAGTTGGTCCAGCTTACAGCTGCACAGATAGAACCAAAGCAGCTAGATATATCTTCGTGCATGTGAGGGAGCATGCAGATATATCTTGCTCTTAGAGGGAGCAGTAAGGTTGCTATTTCCAATATTATACTATTAATATAAGGTTATAAAGACTGAAAGGTAACAGTACTATTTAAAAAAAAATCTTTTTTCTCATCCATTTGTTTTAATGAGAGCTAGCATGGTGTAATGGATTGAGTGCTGGACTCACTCCAGAGACCAGGGTTCAAATCCCTGCTCAGCCATGGAAACCCACTGGGTGATCTTGGTCAAATCACACACACTCAGCCTCAGAGGGAGGCAAAGGAAAAGGCAAAGAACAAATCTTGCTGAAAAAACCCTGTGATAGATTCACTTTAGGGTCACAAGTCAGAAATGACCTGAAGGCACACAACATTGACAAATTTGTTTTAATAACCATGTTCCTGATTAAAGCCCAGATTGCCAACTGCACAAAAAAAATTCCTTATTTTATTATCCCACTACATGAAATGTGTCCAGCTGCACCATAGAATAATGCCTGCTTCCCATGTCCTAACCTTGGCTGCTGGTCTATGAATTTTCCTTCAGCTTCTCTGTATCTTTAGGTGTGTCATCATTGATCATTAAGCTGGAGATCATGGCATCTTCATGGAAGCCATTGCTTTTGACAGATAAAATCTGTTCCCAATCTATTGACTACCTCTGATAAGCATTTTTTTCCTCTCTTTCTCTCTCTTCCTGCAGGAAATTCCATTACATATTTCAGGGGAGATATTTTCTGGCAGCAACAGATACATCCCATCAGAGAAGACTAAAAATAAAAATAGGGTGGTGGTGGTGGTAGGGAATAAAAGAATTTATCAATTTTTCACTGCAGCAGTGTCAGAGATGTTAAATTGGAGCTTAGAGTGAGTGTGACCTTTGAACCACATTGGTCATATTTGGAAGGTAGTTCTAAATCCTGCAACAAGGAAGAAACATGCTGTGGTCTCAGAAGTGCCTAAGGAAAGCAAGCCTAGATGTTAGAAGGCTGCAAGAAATGATGTCACTGTGCCTGTAATATATATAAGGGTCTTGCCAAAGCATGCATTTGCTGAGCCCTTCTTGATACAGAACAGGAAGAATGAACTCAATCTTTGGGTCTCTCTCTCTCTCTCTCTCTGTCAAAATGCTGTTTTGCTCCCTCATCTCTCACAAGTTCAATTGCCTAGTATCTTGTCCAAGAGATTCCCATGGTTTTATTCATTGCATTTTCTATTTATTTAACTTATAACCTGCATTAATAATAATAATAATAATAATAATAATAATAATAATAATAATAATAATAATAATAAATGTTTATTTATAGCCCGCCCCTCTGCAGAGCAATTGGGGCGGGTTACAACATATTAAAACAGCCAAGTTAAAACATTCCCTCATCCCATAATCCCACCCTCCCATCCCCTTAAAACAGAATTAAACTAGAAAAGAAGTTAAAATACAACAATACAATACAACAAAGACAAAACAATAAAACATGGAATTGGGATAATGGAACCAAATAAAAAGAAAACTCATCTCCCATCAACAACAGTTATTTGTTTCTCTTGACATGGGACTTAAGGCAGCCCCCATCATGATTTAAAACCAGTTAGATCTTTCGGGGGGGGGGGGAACCAACCTAATAATAAACAAATTAAAAGACAATTAAAGAAACTACTATAAACCCATCAGGACTTTAAAGCAATTAAAGCCCTTTAAAACATGACTATAAAAGTAAAAATACAGTTCAAACATCCCATTAAAAGACTTTAATACATAGCCAATTATCCAACCAAATGCCTGTTCAAATAAATAGGTCTTTCTCTGCCACTGGAAGGAAAGCAGAGAGAGA